AATTTTTCATTTGTGTCCCACCTGAATAATTGAAATGAAATGGTCAGATTCAGTTTGGCAAAATCATTGTTCATTTTTAACAGGGCCTAGTGAGAGAACATTGAGAAGACAGTGATATGTTCAGCCTCTGTGTGTATTTGGTACCCTAGAAAACAGCTACTAAGGAGTTAAAGATAAGGGGAGGGAAGATAAAGACAAAAAGGGAGGGAAATGGGATTGGGCAGGCAGGGCCCAGACCACCAGGCAGACCAGCTAATGCCGACCTGACCGAGCCAGGGGAGAGCTCCAGAACAAAGCGCTGCTGTTCCAGAAACAGCCAGGCCCTAACATCCCCACCACGCTCAGCCACTGGCTGAAGGCTGCTGAGAAGAGCTGTGTCTTCACAGAAAGCTGAGACAGACCTGAACGTGCTGCAGCTGGAGGCTGTCAGCTAACTGAGCTCCTGGCAAGAGAATGGCAAGTTATTTCTCCAAGCACATGTGAGCTGCACACCTCCATGGGTGCTACATCGTTTAAACATTTTCACAGTAAAGCCACCAAGAGTAAACAAATTCTGGTGACACTATTTCATAGCAGCCTTAAAAAAAAAATCTGTTGAATCCTGTTTAATGTGCTTTCAAAGTTATTTTCTGATTTAACTTGGCTTTGTAACTTCCAGTTCTTTCATATGGAACAGTTAAGTATGTACTTGTAAGTGCATCACTGAATGTGTGTCAAAGGCCTGACAGGAGAAACACGATTTTCTGCTGGGAAAACTTTCTTTTTCACTTTCAGCTTCTGGGAGAAAACGATGGAGCAAACTGTGAACAACCAGATAAATTACTGGCCGCATGAGAAAGGCAAGTTAGCATTGCTACTGTGGTTTAGTTGGGGGCTCCTTTAGTTTTATGCTGAAAAAAACAAACTGGGAGGAAGCTGGATGAAAGGACTTTTATGTACATACCCCAGAGCCAAGAGAGCATGATGGAACCTGGGGCTGGATAAGATACCCAGGCTGGACTTGAACTCCTGGGCTCAAGTGATCCTCCTACCTTAGCCTCCCAAGTAGCTGGGACCACAGCTGTGTGCCATTGCTTTTGGATGTAACTTGTTGACACTGATTCACATGCTGCTTTGGTAAACTGCTTTAATTCAGACTGAATCTCATTCACATCTGTAGCCTGCACATCCATGGTAGTGCCTGGTAGGTGGCAGACATACCGATTAAAGTTGGGGTTTGCTATTATTTGCTTTTGCCTTGCTCATTCTTAGGTTATAAACTGCAGGAAGTTCTATCTCTAGGTTCTATTATCTAAGAAAAATAGAAGTATCAGTATTTAAATTTATATGTGAAAAAACGTTTATTGCAAGATCAACTTCTGTAGACAAACAACATGTGACCCTAGCCAGGGGAGTGGCTGCAAAACACATCATTCTTCTGGAATGCCATGAGCTCTTGAAAATGAATAGGTGGGTGACATGCATTCATTTCAAAAAGTGCCCATGTTATATTAAGTGAAGAAGAGAAAAAAAAAAACAAGGTACAGCAAGTGATATGCAGTACATGCCCATGTAGAGTGTGTGTATGCAAAGGAAAAATAGTGGAAAAATACATACCAAATTCATGTTTCAGTTCAAGATTTTATATTTAAAAATGTTTATACCGGGAGGGTGGGGTGGGAGAAGGAAGAAGAGTTAGTAATGGTGTGGGTACAGCCTGGGAATTGGCATGTTTAAAATCTGTGTGCAGGATCAGCTACATAATTTGCATGGTCTGATGCATGATGAAAATGCAAGACTCCTCATCCAAACATTACTGAGAATTTCAGACATCAGAGCCTTAAATTAAGCACAGTCCCTTCTGCATATGGTGCCCTGCGCAAATGCACTGGTTACAGGCCTGTGAGGCCAGGCCTGGCTGCCCGGGTGACTGATGTGCAGCCAAGGCTGAGAAACCACTGGCCTAAACCATCCAAGCACATTTCAAACAAATTAGTAAACCGCCAAAAGCCCAAGAGTAAATTACCTTTCTAATTGACAAATGTTATTTTATTGTTTAATCCTTGTGGCTGATTGGTCTTCAAGTGCAGTGCTCCTAATACTTTAGTTTTAAATTGCATCCTCTGTAGAGGCCTCATCATGCAGTTTTTTAAAAATTACAAAATAAAAACATGCTTTCCTTGAGTGTGATGGGGTTTGTGGTTGGTTACTTTGCTGGTTACAGTGTCGCTGCTCTTTGTAATCTGCTGTGCCACAGCTTAACGGTGATTCTGTAAAAAGAACTTCTTGTCTGGCAAAGAAATGACTTCATATTCTCCAAGCTAGGAGGTTTCCAAAGCACCAGCTGCAAAGGATGTCACTTAGTACCTAATCCTCACTCAGAGATTGTGTTCGCCCTGGTAATTAAGTGGCCCCTTGAGCACAGTTGATAATGAGCAGAGGAAGAAGCAGCACGTCTGCTTCCAAACCACTCCTGAGTCGTTCAACATGGACAGTCCCTTTCCTTCTCCAGGACTTGGCTCTCAGTGCTATACAATAAAAGGAAGTGACAAACCATCTTGCCTTCCTAACAGGTGCTGAGAGATGTCTAGGAGAAAGTACTTTGTAAACTACAAATTGTGCAAAACATATGTGGGTGATTAAAAAAGATGAAACAGAGGTAAGGGGAAGGAAGGCGAGTGTAAAGTGGGGAGCACTGGAAGAGAAAAGCGAGGAAAAGTAGGTTTTTGGAAACTTGTAAGACTTAAAGATGATGGATCCAAGACATACATGAGCTTTTTGCCAGGGGTCATGAGGAGGTCCTCCTGCCAGGTGCCTGAGCATGGATAGTGTCCCCAGGTAAGCCTAGGACTCTAGGGTTTGGGGTCTTTGGCCCCTTGGCATGCCACAGTCTCATAGGGAAGTGTAAGTCAATAGCTTTATTGCCACTATGAATAAAAACCATAAAATCAAGACCTTGTGTCACTTATAATCTAAGAAACTCTTGTCACCTGTGATCTCAACATCAGGGACATACAGTATCTTGGAGAAACTATTTTTGCTTTTTGATACTTTTCCTGTAGTTAAGGCCAGAACTTTATGTCTATCATGATTTCATTTGCCACAATCAGAACTCTAAAGAGTTTTCTCTTATATGAGCTCAAAATCATGGCCATAATTTTAATAGTGAAAATGTATAATACCTAAAAAGTGCTTTCAACAAATCTAGAATTGACAATATGTTTAAAACAGATGCTTATTGAAAATCGCTCTGCTGGGTAGCGGTTGTGTTGATTCTTTCCATGCAGATTTTTTACTGATAGTAAATGTCGCCAGCCTCATTTTGGTCTGGCTGGACTGTGGTTGGCACACATCTTTGCAGCTGATCCTAGGTCCTTTCCTAGAGCCAAACATCTACTTGGTTAGGACCTGGATACAGCTTCAGGCCAGTCTAGTGACCAATGGCACTCAACAGTGATCCTCAAAGTGTGGTTCTGGCCTAAGAGCATCAGTATCACCTAGGAACTTAGAAAATGCATATTCTTGAACCCCACCTAGAACTACAGCATCAGACTCAGTGGGTGGGGCCACGTGAGCTGGGCTTGAACATACCTCCAGCCACTTCTGATCCCTGCCTCACAAGGGTGAGAACCACAACCTCAAGGCTGCCGGCTGAGGGTAATTTAACCAGTTCCTGTGAGAGTCCTCCTTGAAAAGTGTTGAAATTATTCCCTACAAGTTTCAGTTTCTTGCCAGTTCCTCTTTCTTACCTTCCTGGACAAAATGACGAAAAGAGGAAAAAGTGGTTCAGCAGCATTAAATGCCTCAACTATTATATATAAAATCAGAAGAAAAGAATTTTCAATTTTTGAAAATGAAACATCCACCTGCCAGCAGGTATTTCCAGCAGTAGCTGTTGGTTCTGAGCAGCTTGAATCTACACACAATTGCACCTTTTTTAGCAGCATTTTGAAGTCACAAATTGCCTTGGGGGGGACAAAAAGGAAGGCAGAGCTGCTAGTTACTAATTCAAGCTTACAGCAGAAATGAAATTTTAAAGAACAAATTTAAACTCAGTTTTAAAGTATGATTTCCAGCAAGTTTTAGTGCACTAGCCTGTGTAGGGTGAGTAGTGTATGGCTAAACCAGAGACAGTAGAACCAGCCTTTGTATTCCACCACCTCCAGCACCTGCATGGAGACAGACATTACTACTAAATCATGGTCATCCTCATCCTCTCAGCAGAGTTCCTTGGATAGCCATTACCAGGCTACTGGAGGTGGCACATGACATGGAACCTGCTTGACAGTCATGGCATCGGCAATACCTGCTACCTAGATGGTAAGGTCAAAATGGTTTTCTCTTCTTTTGTACCTTTTAGTGGTTGTCAGAGAACTGCCTACCTATACATCACATATGTATATACATGCCTATTTATACACACACATGTATTTTGTGTATACAGTGAGTTTATTTTTATAATATAAGCGATCACATGTAATTAAAAATGCTAAATATCCTTAGACTCATGGCTGGCAGGAAGTTCCAGAGAAAGTGATCCTTAAAGTTAGACTCCAGAAGAGACTTGTTCTGATCAGATGTCTAGTCCTATCTGCTGTTCGTGGGACTACTTATTTTATTTATTTTTCTTATGGTCTGAATTTATACAAAACCCACATCTTTAATACTGAAGTCAAGAATTAATTTCATTTCTGTTACAAAG